AGCAAATACCAGACCATTTGCTAACTTTTAACGGGGTAAGACTCTTTCAAAGCTGCTTTGAATCCATATAGTTGCTAACTGGCGCAGTTGAAAAAACATTCAACATCGAGATATCATGAAAATATTTATGGTTATAATCGTGAGAAATTAGGTGAGTAGATCCCCTATTATAAGCTTTTAGCACATACTTACTTGCACCTGCTAGGTCGGATGTAGCCTCGGGAGAGAGAGGGACACAGCCAATAGAGGTGTTGATGTGACAAGTACACATCTTTTGTACGGCTTCCCGAATGGCAAAGCTGTGGGGGGCTTTTGGAGGAGAGCCATGCCGATCGGCTTGGGCCAGCTGCTCCAGGAGCGACAGCGCAAAATGGAGACCTTGATCATCTGGCATCAAACAAACATGACAGTGGGTATTTTATCTGCTTAATCCGGCATTAAACTTGGGTCGAGAACGCGAAGCAAACCACGACTCTAGGGTCTCGAGAGAGGAGGAAGCTCAAGCACTTTATCTATCTGAGGAACGGTACTTGTGCCGTAATGGCTTTTGCCCGAAGGAGCTTGCTATGCGATGCGCTACCGTGTGGCCGGGACGAGGACATGCAACGACGTCGGGCCACGGGAGAACAGCAAGCCAATGTGCGGTGTGGCCTATCGATCTTTGTCCCTACCAGAACGCTGGCAGGCTTGATCCACGATCTCAACAATTCCTCGCTGGATTCTCATAAGAAATCTGGAGAGACAGCGGATAACCGATCAACGGTTTCGATGTCCCATTTTTGGACAGAAAGCAGCACAAGCGCAATAGAAAGAAAGCTTTTGCTTGGTGAGGGGATGGAGATCAGTCCTGCCAGCATCATCGAGATTCATCCCGGAGGCACTCTTGTCTGAAATCAGCAGAGATTGATGAGGCTGGCGAGACTGCACACCAGAACCACTTCGAAGTGGCTCTCTAGGCGTAGTTAACAACGTTTCAGGCGCCAGGGAGCCGACGGCGCCGCTGGATGAATCGGTTGCAACGAAGGAATGCGAAGCCGACAACCACCCCGAGGCGAGCGTTATCTATCCAGACGGCAACCCAGGTCGAACGGCCAGCCCAAGACCCACGAGGACCCCGAATCTGGCCTTGCTGGACATACAAGGCAGGCTTGGTTCACAAGTGTCCCAAATGGGACTCCTGGACATTGACGCAGGCGTCGGTGGTATCCCCGGTTCTGCCAGCTGCAACGCAAGGTCAGCATGGTATTTGGGCAAGCCGAAAAGTTGGTGGAGGTAATGGCCGAGGGATAGAGTTCTCTCTTGACGAGTACAGTGTTTATCACTGGAGGTCCTTCCTCGCAAAGCTCGACGAAGAAGAGAAAACCATTTCAGCGCGCCGGTGGATGTGGAAGTAATGGTATTTTACGGGGGAGCATCCCACAGCCATAGAGGATCACATGTTGGCGCTTCGGGAAGTACTCTACTTCGAGAGTCAATGGCGAGGAGAGCTGGGCCATCAGAGGGCGAGCTTTTCGTCCGATGACTCGTGCCACATTGACATCGCGTGGAAGCTGACCTGAAGACTGGGAGTGTGAGATGATAGCACCAGTGAGGAAGAGACGGAAGCCCCCGGATCGTTGCTAGTACGCCCAAGCAACGAGACATCAGGGACCCTCAACACCCTTACGATTGCCCTGTAGCGTTGCCATCGAGAAGCGCAAGCTCAAATCGCTGGAGAACACTGCATTTCATCTTCGCCTCACACCAACCGAGTTTAATCCCAGCGTTCTATAACTCTGATCGCTGAGCTGTGTCGGAAAACAATCATCTGACGTTAACTAAAGTCAACCACAAGCCGCAAATACCCCGTCGTGCCATATCCGGTCGTGCCATAGCCAGTCGTGGCAACTCAGGCAAAAGATAAACATGACGAGGATCCTTCCAGCGCCCTGCTATCCTCATAACCCCAGTTCAGAACGTACCACCTGCGACTAGGTGGTGCAGGTGGAAATGTATATGGACAGCCCCTTAGTGGACAACGCAATCGATGTTGCTTCTCTCAACCACGGTACGGACACACACCGGATTTGCCCTTTTGGACCATGTTTTCATGAGGTGTCTCTTACAGCTTGGCTAGCTGCTTCGGCTTTGGTCTGGATGATGAATTGGAATTCTGCCATTTTAGGGTTACGACTTCTTGTCCTTTGCCGCGTCAATCGCCGCAGGGTTTACCGTGGGCTGAGCAAAAGAGCAGCAGGTCTTTTCCTAGCAAGGCGAGCACACTTGTATAGCCACGGATCAGATATTCGCGGATATCTGTTCCTCCAGTGCTCGCTACGGGTACATTCAAACCGAATAAGATTTAGCGGTCTTCCGTCCTTCCCGGATCGGAAATGACCTTGAGTTGCTTTCGTGCCTGCTCTTCCTGGAGAATAGAGGGAACATGGCACGGCAGGAAACGCAAGAGGATCGCATGCGAGACCCTCGTCGCTGGTGGCGGTAGCTTTCGCAAGACATTTGTTTCTCTGGAGCTGAACCCACGTGGAGAGGTAGAAACGGAAGCCCGGAGCAAGCTTTCCCAGCTTGTCCTCTTTGCTGTTTCTCTATCATCCATGTTGCCAAGAGTAAATGCGATACGGAAGACGCTGAGTTTTATTGGGACTGAGCATCAATAGTATGGTGACGCTCAGACTAACCCTTCATCAACCTGGAGAGGGACGGCGCCAGCACGATTCTCCCAAACGACAACGTCATTGTGTACAACTAATGGAGAGGGCCCTATAGCCAAAGCCAGGAAGGAGAACAGAGACGTGAACAAAGAGCTGTTCCCAATTCTCTTCTATCCCATCATTGTTGGACAAGCAAATAGCCCTTTTTAGGAATATGAACCAAACAACGAGGCCAACAGGGAGAATTGGACAGAAGTTTCAGCTTCCCGGAATCGAGAAAAGACTCAGGGAGAGCGTGGCGCCAACTGCCCTTCTCCCACCTTGCTACAACGACTTCAACGCGCTCTTTCATTCATCTTGGAAACAGAATCTTTCCTATCTGCCCGTCGCCTCAGTGAAAAGAATCATCTGCAAATTTGCTATGCTCATAACCGTCTGGAGCAATGGCAGGGGCTCGACCTAACGCAGCTCGTTCCAGGCGGATGACTCAAGCACCCGGAGATATTGCTGAATACTGGGTTCAGAGTGACTCAGACTCCAATGATAACCTGGAACTGGACGTGGAAGGCACTCGTTCACCGAAGCGGAGATGCGTAGGAGACCGGACCTGCAGACCAGCCACTCCCTCAACGCTCGTCTCCTCTGATTCAGCCCAACCCGAATCCTACAGCACGAGCATCGCAGGCCAATGAACTTCATTCCAGGACTGGCCTGTAAAAGTCAGATAGCAGGCTGAGCAAGGGATTCGGTATGGGCACCCTCGACCGGCCGCCGTGCAGGAGCAGTTGCAGGAGCAGCCCCTCCCCCATCAATTGCTACAGCTCGAGAGAGGCGCAGAGACCGAGCCTCAAGATCAAGAGGCGCAGCTGCTCGTCGGCGAGGGTGATGCAGGATGAGCTTCCGTTACTACGGTCTCAGTATCGCGACTGACAACTTCGACGAGCATGTTTTCGGACTGGTTGCAAATGGAACAGCAGCCAAGCTGTTTGTAACATGCGAGAAGAAAGACGGCAAAAAGGCGCTAACGCACATACATGAAGCTCATTCGATGGTCGTCTCTTTGCTCGTCTCAGGCATACGACATGGCTTGTTGGGTTTTTGGTTTCAACATTCATCGAACACAACAATGTACCCAGCAGTTCTGTGTGGCGATATGTGGAACACACATCACGATCTATGGTCCCGATTGCTCGAGACCATCGAACAATCGGGGAGAAGCAATCGCGGAGAAGAAGAGCTATTACGCACTCATGCAATAGAGATCAGTCCCCGTGATCATTGCTGCATCCTGAGAGAGGTCGACACGAAGATCAAACAGGCGTTTTGAAAATATTCAGGGTTTACTGCACGGTAGCATGCAGCAAGTGGAAGCATATAGCGAGAAGTGACAGTGGAAACCAGATGACAACAGGCCATCGATGCAACTTTGGGTACCAATTCCTCCTCCAAACGAGCACCTCATTATATCCCTGCCGTACCCCGGGTGCCTCTACCATCGCTGTACCTGCTATGTCGGGACTGCTGGCCTCTCATCATCTTTTCCAGCGACGCGAGAAGGATAGGACTTTATGGCGATCACGGGATGGATCTTCAGAGGCTATGCCCACGGAGAGGAATGACCCTGAATGAGAAAAAAAGAACTTGAAAAAAAAGAAAAAAAAAGGAGAGAGAAGAAAGGCTAGACCAAGGATGATTGACCTGGCTGATAGCATTGCAAGGTCCAAGCGAACTAAGCGCTGCTACGATGATATATGGCTGCTGGAGAACGTTGGAAATCGATTTCTCATCTTCAGCGACGAGCGAACACTGTCCTTTAAGCGAAGATGGGTCATGCTGAGGCACGGTCCAGTTTCGGCGGTTATCACGAGGGAGGACCTTGACCCTGAGCCCGGTTGATCTTACTGGTTTCTTGTCCATAAAGCCAGCAACAACAAAGCAAGAAACAAGCCTAACAATCTTCGCAGCACTCCCTTATATCATGAGAGCCAATTACGCGCTGTAAAGGGCTCATAGCGATATCTTTGCTGTATTGAGCATATTGCCTCTGAGTCAGCTAGGGTGGGCTTACGAATACCGACATCAGCTTGCGGATCGAGCATAGACGAGGCGTATCATTGAAGAGGATATGGGTGATCATGATCGCGGCATTCTAGCCCGCATAAGTGACTTTTGGACGGATAGGCATCCACAGTACCAACAGCCAAATGGAGAGTACCCAACTCTCGTTGACCATGACCCTTCCTCCCCATCAAATCAGGGTACATTATCAACGTAAATGGCGTTAAAACTGAGGATGTTCCTTAGATGAAGCTGGCCATTGATTTACAATACGTGGCTAATTGGCTGGCCGGGATGTCTGGTGCTGCATTAGGCGTCCTCATTCTTGATGGAGATATAGTTATGGCCGACTCTGATGAGGATGATGAGGATCTCGACCCGGAGCCGGAGAGAGGTTTACAGGCCCTGGCGAGACATCTATCTCCCGGTCCGCCAAATCCTGTGGTGGTTGCGTCCCTGCGGTATACGAGCATGATGAGGAGTATTGAAGCCTTCCACAACAGATGTATCGGTCTGCAGGAGGATATTGTATACATATTTAAGCACGAGGAGGTGAGCCCCGAGCGTACAATGATCCTATATATAATGGATAAGAATGTGGAGGTACTTGTCTCTCAGCTACTCAAACTCAAGCCGGACATGATACTGGACTACAGGAATAGCGAGGCCCACCTGGCAGAACCAAGGTACGGGCGTAGCCTGGATATAGGCAGGGTTCTGATGCGCATCCTCATCGTCGGTGTGGGTGCTGCAATCAGTATCTCGCCAGAGTCGGCAAGGCGTATGGGCGAGATCAACGACGAGCTCTTAACACCCGGCAGGAGAGCGGAGAGTATCTTTGAGGACAGGCATCTCCCCGAGAGAGGCAAGCGCGGCCAGGACGAGGCCCGTCCATACCGAGAAGAGTCCGAGAGGGTACTAGGTTTGACGCGGGGTGCGCCTAGATCATGTACGTCTGCACCAATTTCACAGTATTAACGGGGGCAGGGAGGGAAATGATTTGGGACAGCGTTGTCTCATCGACTCGAGCTATGCACCAGCCAGCCGCAGGACATGCCCATGCGCGCATCGCCCAGTTCGCCCGCTCCCACCATCGGCAGCTTCCCCAGTGTTTATCAAGAAAGAAGACCAAAATGACAGACCATCGAAAAGCTCACCGGTCAAGAAGCGGGCTCGGTTTAGTTCACCTCCAGTCAGCTCTGCCACGCCTGTCGCTCCGACCCAAACGACGAGTAGGATAGTTCCAACCGCTCGAGGCCCTTATTCCTACCTACTTGATACCCAAGCTACAACATGTTCAATGGGAAGCAGAGAAGTCAAGCGCTTAAGGGCGTCGCCAAGTTTCTTCTCACAATGGCGACGCGTGGATGCCCTTGCACAAGTCTTCGCCAGTCGTTGTTGCCATATGGGCCTCACACTGACCACGGTAGAACGAACATGGCCTTCGCTGTCCTCCTGGGATTGATGCTTTAGGGGTTGTGGTAGGTAAACCACGGAGCACAGGTTCTTCGTTTTCTATACCATGTAACACATCAATAGCTCCGCGTCTTGGTGTGGAAATACTGCTGCTTGGACCGCTGTTTTCTGGCACGAATACGGAAGTCATAACTGTCACCTGAGGGGGCGAGCAAGGCGGAAGCCGCAGGAATGGTGTTATGGCCGGACTTCAAGTTCTAGGGGGTTCAACGACCACCTCGGACGGGCCAAGAGGACTTTGGAGAGAGAAATGAAATCAAGAGAAAGAGAAGAGCCAAGCTTGAGCTATACCGTCGACATTCAAGACAATGCGAGCACATCGTTGGCTTGGTGAGATGAGACTCACAGCACTTCTTCCAAGGGTTTACGGCGGACTCGTTCAGCCCTGGATAATTCATATCTTCGAGAGATTTCTGCCAAAAATTGCTCTCGTTGGACTTGGAGAATAGGGCGTGGTGTTTCCTGCCCTTTTGCTGCCGCTATTGGACGCAGACAAGCTACTAAGTTACCATCGCTTGCCGCTCGACCAACACCAAAAGAGCTCAAGGCAAGAGGACATAGCGTACATTGAAGGGGCATATCAAGTTATGGCGTGGATTTACGATCGAAGGAAAAAATCGATTTTCGCCTCTATAAAGCTGCCGATGCTGAAGCCAGAACGGCCAAAAGAGCAGTGCCACAGAGAGAAAGGTATCAGTCCGGGTTGTGGAGAGGGAGATGATGTGGCAGCTCCAACGCAAAGCCGAGATTGGAGGTTGGTCTGGAGAGCAATGAATAGTGGTGGGATGATAATGGAAGAGCCCAGAATAGAAGAAGATCTGGGCTCGAAGCTCATTTCAACAATCTCAGAAGCAAAGATTGGGAACTATGGCTGGCAAAATATCCAGTTCAGCTCTTGAGCACGCGGTTGGCACACGCTTTCTGACGTCCGGCAAAAGGAGAAAGACTTCACACCACATTTCAAACTCCTGCTGCCTGAGATGGACAGCTATCAAAATCAGTGCCACACAGAAGCTATCATTCGGTATATCAATAAGACGACACTCGATGTAGCCACGGAGAGAACTGATGGCTTTGTCACCAAAGCAGCCCTATGTGCGGACCATGTCTGCCATGTGTTGTTCGTTCTACAGCAAGCCTGCAGATCGTCATAAAGAAGTGCGAGTTTCATACAACTAACATAAGATACATCAGCCTATCATGACACTGTGGGCATGCAAATGGTCCCGGACAAAGTTCAAGGCGGTGACGGAATGGGAGTGGCCAAGGAAAACCAAGGACATGCAGCGGAATTATTTGGCTGCCTGGCTCACACGGATTGGGATGCGCTGTGAGACTTTGTCATTGGAAGGACGGGCATGATCGCTCAAGAGCTTGTTTGGTAGGGGGGTGAATAGTAGTAGCTACGCACGGTCAAGGCGTAGCTTACGTGGGCGGTGGCCAGTCTCAATTGGACTGGATCACCGGTAATGTTATCCTGTCAAGCGGCGAAAGAAGAAGGAGAAAGATACCTCTCATGGCTGCCACCCGCTAGGAAGATTGGACGGTGCTATTGGACCTCATGTTGTCTCGCGAGGCTATCAAATATCTGCCTCGGCCTCGGTCTTGGAAGCCGCCGAAAGGTTGAAATAAGGGGGGAAACTCGCCCTTTCTGGAACCCAGAAGGTGTGCAGACAAGCAGAGTCTAATTCGCATATGATCTGGGACTTCATGGACCAGCGGACGGCTAGTTTTGATCTGCATCTGCTACCAATTTCCATCACGAAACCTTTCCACCAGCTTCAAGACATAGGTAGTCGACGATCAACGAACAACACTTGTTGACCTATTTCATCTGCCTACCGGAGCAGAAATATTATTTCATCACGCGAGAGAGAGCGGCCACTATGGCCCATTTGGTCCAGCGGAGAATAACAACGTTGACTTTGCGGCTGGCTGGGAGACAGGCCAAACAGAAAGAGGTCAGCAACAGGATGCCGTTTTGTACCGCATTCCAGCGCCGAACACGACCGAGGATACATTCCAAAATCCAGCATCTCAATTCGACTCTCAGTGGAGGTGCATGGATTGACCAGGCCATCGACAGGTACGCCAGGCAAGAGTTAAGAAACTTGCTTACAAAAGATGATGACGACCTCTTCGAACTACAATCATATCGTCAATTTGTCACCAAAACCGACTGATCTTGACTATTATGGCGATTATGATAGCGTGTCCTTCATTTTTAGCCGCGATGGCTACTTTGATTCCCTTTGTTTAGCGATGTTTAGCGCTTATTCCTTTCATTAGAGATTGATACCCGATGGAGGGCTCCGGCAAGGTTTTAGGACCATCTTGATTTCAAGAAGATGAGTGGTTCACAATTCACCCAACTCTAATCGAGAATCGTGGCGACCTCGAAAACAGATGATGTTTTTCGATGGATGGTGGCGGACGCGTTCCCCGTCTCTTCGGAGGATGAATACGACTCAGGCTGGTTGCTCGCAGACCTTTCCAGACCTTATGAATCTCTATCAACGGAACACATTCTAAGCATACTGGACCAGTGCCCATTGCTTGAGGACCTGAATATACCAGGAGAGAGATCATATGCAAACACTCAGTCCCACTATATACGAGGCGATAGGCGCGCTCAGACGCTTGAGATCGGCAACGCTATATATGGACTGCTTCGCGGCACCACTTCACTGCCGGTCGTTATATGAGGCGCCGGCATTGACAAACCGTCGGTACAGCGCCGCAATCAAGCAAAAAAATCGTAACGGCTATGATAACCTTGAAGACTGTGAGGTTACCATGGAAGAGTCGAACAGTTTCTTGGAGGTCTGTCCCGAAACCGTCAAATCTCATGCAAAGAGGGCACGCGAGTCGCAACAACAGAGGCGACCCATACTCAGGAACCCCCCGCGAGATCCCGCGTATTCAGCACTCACCTAAGTACTGAGAGGCGGGAGCTTAGTCGGTCGCTGACTAGATGCTGTGACCTTTCGAGCATTTGCTACGTTGTTGCATTTATGGCGTCTGTTGAACAGTGTGCCAATAGACATCCCACAGGTAAACCTTCCACAGGTTCACCTCCCTCAGGTTTACCTCCCTCCACTTCATACCATGCAGGTAAAATATCCCCAGGTTCACCTCTCTCAGGTTCACCCCCCTCAGGTTCACCCTCTACAGGTTCACATCCCACAGGCGAACCTCTCTCAAGCAAACCTCCCTTAGCTTCACCCCATACAGGCGAACCCTCCTCAGGTTCACATTGCGTTATTGCATTAATTTGCAGTTATTTGGGCTGCGCCGTATGCACCCTGTGTTGCAATTGGTGCACATAGTCGCCCTACTCGGGATGACTAGCATCAGATATTCCATCAACGACCATCTTGCGAATCAGCCAAGCAAGGCCTCTTATGCTGGCTTTGAGATGGATTGGCTTACGATGACCATGGCTAAAGGCATTCAAGATGCACCATGGTCTCAAACGCTCGAGGCAAAGTCACATGCAGAGTCAGATAGTGTACGATTTACACCCCCTTGAACTCTTCTGGAGCAAGCCTGACACTGGGTCTCTTGTTGATCATGATTTCAATCGAGATTCCCGCAATTCTATACCAACATATCCAGCAGCTTACCCAGCGCGAAGCAAACCAAGATACTAGCGAGGAAGGGCAGAATCTAGATGGTCAAGAATTGCAGATTCTAGATGGCCAAGGATTGCAGCAGGGCAGCCAAGAAGCAGAACCGACAAGACGTCCAGGCCTTTCTCGACGAACTAGAGTGTCTCCCCTGATATCGAAGCCTGATCTCCCCAACAATCTACGTGTTAGATGTCTTCGAAAACAGCAGAGCGTGCCTATCGTTGTCAATACCACGCATCACAGGTAGGATTCACTTGGCCCTGATCAAGAAGATATTCCAACAGAAAATGCTGACAAACTATAGATTTTCATGATACAGCCAACACTTGAGTGCTCATTCGAAATCGATGTGTTGGATCAAAGTTAATCATTTCGACCAATGCACCAAAACCATGCTGGAGGCCAAAAGAACGCAACCAGACAGCAACAAAATTCTTCTTAGATTCAGACTTCAAATCGAGCCGTACAATTCGAGCACCCACCAAACCAAGCCAGCTTCTGGCTTCTGAATCCTGCCAGAACGGCATCTGCATGTTGACCTAATCTCTGCCCTTCGACGCCTTCCCCTGTCCCCTGATCTCCACAAAGGGTTTGTCTGGACGTGAATTTACGTGCATTATTCACTTGACACATACATGACGGATCACATGCAAGCCCGAGTTTTTCTATCACAATACAAATTGTAATCTTGGGATTTGAGTGGATGGTCTATGATCTGGCGACTGACCTGCTTGGTCCGTCATTGTGGAATCTGTTCAAGTACTGCGGCGAAAGATTCAGTCTAGATACTCTTTGCAATGTTGCCATCCAGGCGCTGACGCGTCTGCAAGGTCTTCATAAAAAGGGCATCACCCAGAAGGGCACCAAATCGGCCAACTTCGCCATGGGGTCTGGCAAGAATGGTAACACTCTATATCCCATTGGTTATGGACTTGCCACGACATTTGAAGGGATCAAACTCAAAGACGTGGAACCCTTCGCAAATCCAAAACCAACAGACTGGAGTGCAGGATGCCTGCCTATCTATCCACCTCCCCTAGTAGCTGGGTTATCCGGAATATTTGTGCCATCTAAACTGTTTCATAGGATATCCCTCTAGAAGGTCAGATAGCGTCGAGGAAATTTATGAAGCATATTCCCAGCTAGGAGAAAAAAGCTACTGTCGAGGTACATGCTCAATCAATCCGCCGAAGAGCTTCAAGATAAGGCCGCCGAAGGATTAGATCATGCGCGAGGAAGCGTTGACTGTCGCAATATTCACAAAAATAGAAGGCCTTGAGCAGAAACCTCCCGCATTAGAGGGCACGGTATTTCATTTGAGGATGATGTTATGGATCAAGCCGTTGGAAGGAACTTGCGAATACGCTCTGGATGGCGTGCAATGCCCTTCATTTCCGTCGATCCGATCCTGCGAGCGCAGAACATCACACCAGCTGCCACTATGCACAGGAGTGGTGTGGCTTCCAGCCTAGGGATTGTTGAGTATGTTCACGCGTTTTGGTGAGAAAATGCTTTTACACTGGCTCAGCCAATGAGTCACGTATTTCAAAGCTTTGCTCATGGCCATATGTCCCATTGGTGTCCCGGCACTCATCATCAGTGCTATTCGTCTGGCTGGCAGCCAGACCGCGCGGCTATCACCGGAAGGCCGGCGGAGATTTTCCTCTCTCATATTCAGTCTTCATGGGCTCCCCCACGGATCCAAGGGCGACTTGGACTTGGTTGCCACGCGACCCAAGCCCTCTTCCCCCGCGCTCGCAATACGCCAACCTCTGCTTCGCGTGGTGCACAGTCAACCATTGCTGGGAGCAGCCGCCGTCCTGTGATAGAGTCAGGAGTAGAGGCTCCGTTCCATCTCGACAATGTTGACGATCGATACTAGAGCTCATATCCTTAGTTCGGAGGTGTCGCAGTCGATTGTGCTGCCGGACCACAGCTTCTAGCCAGTACTGGGCGAAGACGGAGTATTTCTTTCTTTTAGAAGTGGTTCCTAGCCATAACTTGTTCGCTTGATTGTGGAATGTAGTCACAGTCATGGTACAACACTCGTGGAACAGGACATACTTCTCGACTGAAGAACTTGGAGCCTCTTTCTTTGAAGAGAGAACTACGGAATCTTCGACGCATTGGAGTCGAATGCTCTCACGTTCCGGTATAGAGAAGGGTATTTAGAGATATTACAATGGTCCTGCTGTCGCGGCCCTGTTTCAACTACAATACTTCGGAATCATGAGGAAGACGGCTGATGGTTCTGGGGCCACCAGTCCTGCAAGTTACTCTGCCCCCCTTGCCGTTGTTCGTCTCAACCGTATTGGGAGCTGGCCGTGAGGCTCTTACGGGGAATGATCTCAACATCACTCATATGATGCATTGGTGCGATTGAGATCAAGAGGAAGAGCATGCATGCAATTTCATGATCTCCAAAAGTTACTTTCCGCAAGGCCGGGCATACACTTTTACCTGACCATTGGACACTCCAGTGGTCATCCGGAGTCGCCTCATGCTCTGTGTTCACAAGGAAAGTCGGTGCAGGGTGGACATAAAAAGGGGTTACAGGAGGGGAAGATTCACTTGAAACAGAAACAGAAGGAGGTTGGTGATAGGATCGCCAATCGTCAACTCGAAATTGGGGAAGAGACCCGCGAAGCATACAGACTCGCGAAGCCCGTACCACCGCTCCGGCTGCACCGTCAGCATCGACATATTTGTCTTCTTCCTCGTGATCAACATCATCCAAAACCTATATAGAGTCCTCCTCTCCCCTGTTCCCGTCTATTCGTGGTTGGAATTCTGGCCCTTTTATGTTGTGGCAGAACACGAAAACTTGTCCATTCCGATGATCCATTTTATGTCGGGTGGGGAGTTGCTGCTGAGAATAATATGGTACTACTAAACAACCGTCACTGCATACTGGGCAAAAAGAACCTCAGGACATGCAGAATTACCGACCCGGCCGGGTATATAATATAACAATGTCGGCTTCCTCTAGTCGTCAGGCGTCATCCTGAGCGAAACCCAAGTAGTGTTTTCTGTGCGAAACCTGCTGTCATTCACTCACATCACACATTCCTGATAATGACCAGGGCCCAACATCGCATATACTCTAATCTGAGCCATACCCTATCATCTACAGATAGTGATGAGACTATTCATTGTGTTGAGAAGTCGGATCTGGCACTCTGTACTCAAACTCTTTCACATCAAACGGGACGATTTGAAGAATGCTGATGGTGAAATACACCCTGGGTCGAGAAAAGAGAGTTTAACGGCGTCTTTTAGTGGTTGAACAGAATAAGAGGGATCAACGACGAGTTAATGATGCCCAGAGTCAACTTCTGCCACTAAGCCAGAAGACAATGCGGCCTTCAAGAGCTGGCCAAAAACGTTTGGGGCCTCTCAAACTCCAGCTTTCGACTCAGTAACTAGTCGTCCGGTCTCTGGAACAATTTCCTTGTGTACCTATTCCCGCCCCCAGTACACATCTGCAACCTGTATATCTCCCTAAGAATCCCTTCGCATCGCCCCCGTTTAGTTGGATACCGCAAAGCCCAGGCATCGAAGCGACAAACCAGTTAATGCGAGCGTACCCCGTACGGTTGTGCCAGCCCATTCACAGACTCCCAGCCACACCTTACTACGGGCTACTATAAAATATGGTTTCGCGCAGCCACAGCCCAACAATCAAGGCTAAGCCGGGAAGAATGCTACAAAATAAGAAACATCGCTTTGACTTTCAGTGATCTGCCGGAAACTGTGCAAACCCGGTTTCGCCTCAGCGGAGAAGGCGGCTTTGATGTCGTGAAGCACTATTGGAACCCCTTCACAGGTAAACAGTATATGGTGAAGCGTCCGGATCCGCAGAGGTTATTAGGGGGCATTAGAAGCAGGACATGTCGGTTTCACCAGGGAGAGGTTTCCCATGTGGAAACCTCTCCAGCAGCTTCGCGATAACGCGAGGGATAACCTGATTGGCCAAGAAGCCATTAATTATTGGAGCAATTGATGCGACCAGTTTGCTCGATTAGGCCCAGATAGGACCGAATCCACCTATACATTGAGAGAAACCCTAATAAGAGGCAACATTAAACAACTGCTATAGTAGGCTCACCGGCTAGTGACGAATAAGCTGTGGGCCTGCGGCTATTATGTTGGCTGATCATTCCAACAAACTACCTGGAATACAGTAACCTTTATGGGTTATTGTTTATCTTGTAAGACAACTGTTGCCTTTGAAGAGATCCAGGAAAAGGACTTTATAAGAGAGGCAAAAGACATCAATATTCTTCAGAGGATGGAATGTCCTCAGTAGGTTATGGACCTGGCTCGACATGTTTGTTACTACCCCATTTACTACCAGCGCAAATACACACTGACTAGATGATAGCCTCATATTGTCGAGTTCATGGGCGGCGCAGACTTCGATACGACTCCGTGCATCGCCATGGAGTATATGGAGCTTGGCGCGTTGCGAGACTACAGAGTATCCCGCGTATCGAAGCAATGATGAGGAGCAAATTCTTGCCTTGCAAGATACATTCCCTCTTCGAACCCACACTACACGTCCCCTGACTGCCCGACAATCATCACTTAGCTAACGTGTCCTGAACTGGCTACGATCGATCAAGCCATACGGCTTGATCGATGCAAGTCCGAAACGAACATTCAACACTTCGTATCCTGACAGATTTGGATTTGGTTTTCAGACAGGAGAGACGGGTATTTGGTTTCATCGGTGGCACCGATGTTCTGCCATTCGCTCTTTTTGCCAACCACTGCTGTTAACACCTGCCGAGCTCGGTAATGTCGAGATGTGTGTTCTGGGTTGGTTATGTAAACGGGATCATCAAAGGTCGAGGGTTCCATAGGCAGTTTCACATTATTGTCCCCAGGAACTGCCACAACATGAAGGCTACCAAAAGATCCTGTGATCCTGGCGCAGTAACGCCTATATCGATAACATATGCCAGGGTCTTAACAAGTGGGGAGAGCTGCGAATATATAAGAAGCCTAGCTCGGAGAGCTGGGAGAACCCAAGTAAAGCAACGGCGAGGAGAAACAGCTTGATAAGTCTCTTCCTTTCGAGTGCGATCGACGACAGAGGGATGCGAGCAGTAGTGAAGCTGTACCAGGACGCCAAGGGGCTCACCCAGGCGTTGTCTCGGGCGGCACCAACAGTCGGGACGGCATAGAAGATGGCCTTGCAGGACACGGTTCGAGTGATTGAGGAGAACCAGGCACGGCTCCTCAAGGTGACGATTTCATGGATCTCAAAGGACTGTTCATGGGGCCGTTCTGTTGACTGTGGAGCTGAATCAGGGTCTGTACGAGGCGCAAGAACCCGCCGTATGACTGGAAGTCGTATACGAAAAGAGAGCCGCGGATGTCTGGTCACTCGGACACAGCGCGGTTTTCTTTCGAGGAGACATCACAGACGGGGACCTATATCGCGCCTTGCCAAGTTGACATTCACGAGGAAAGATGCCTCAGACGATGTGATCCGTTCGTCGAGGCCGGCATACCTTGCGAGAGCGCGACGAAGCCCAAGACATGCACGGCGTGCGTTGAGAAGGGTGACCCTGCAGGCTGCAAGCGACGCTCACACGATCAGATCTCGAAAATCTCGACAATTTGTCCACACTGTCTTTGCGACGTTGGAAAAATAATCTACAATCACGTTAAGATATGCAGAGGTACAAATTTCTGGTCCTACTACCACACGCTATCGCATCTGAGAACTTGGTTCCCTTGAGGAAGCGTCTGCTTGAAGCTGCCGAAGTCGCAGATGCAGATCAATCAGGCGGAATGCAAGAGTCTCATCGGCTCTCCTGTGGCCCAAGACCATGACATGCATAGGACTAACGTAGCCGAACTCACGACACGAGTTGCGCCTACTGCAGAAATCACCATCGGGAAAATATGCGAACGCAGGGATAATCTTGACGGCATGGTAGAGAGTCTTGCGGAAGTGAGTTATCCATTAGCATTGAGTTCTGACAAGATCTAACATCAGGGTACGCAGGCTATATACTGAGCCACGAACGAGAACAAGGCCGTCATCATATGCCTAGCCTTGGGGTACATGTCGGCTGGTTCTAAGTTCCCAAATCTATCCTGGGAATCTAAACGGTTTAGAGTATGCCGGAAGCGAAAATTCACCATTAAGCAGTCTCAGCGGATACTTAGTCAGTTTTGCAACATTACTCTCCTAGCCGCGGAAAAAGGGAAGTGTATTGGCAGACTCCAAGGAGAAAGCGGATAAGATAAATAGCGCCCTCATCAACACCGATATCGATACATCCCCTGATCTTGCTATACCTGACGATCTCGCGGAGGATGAGGATAGTAACACCATCCAGGCTACTATTCACGGCTCTAATGATAACGAATCAGAGGCCGAGTTCAATGATAGCGAGCAACGAGACCGTGAGGCGTTCGAGGAGGCCCGTATTGAGGCTGAGGCACAGGCAGAGGAGGACGCCAATACTGCGAATGCTGGCCCCGGTGACGATGACATCCTGTTTGACGACGAGGAGCTGAACGAGTCAGCCCGAGCCCTGGGCATCAACAACCATATCGATATTATATACTCCCGCTCCCCCCACCGCAGACTCCAAGGAGAAGGCGGACAGTGACCCGAAATACAGCGAGGCCGTAAAGAAGATGAACACCGCCCTTACTAATACAGATGTCGATACATCCCCTAATCTTGCTGTACCTGACGATCTCGCGGAGGATGAGGATGGTAACACCATAGCCCTAATACTAAGGACTTCTCGCATACAGTGGCAAAGAAGCACCATTCATCGCCAACTACCTTATCTGGCTGTCTTGGGTTCCTCCATAGATCCAAAGCCAACTCTTCCCTACCAGTTCCGAAGGCTAAGTGACCTCCAAGCCCGTTCCTTCAAAGCTAAGCCAGATACTCTTCCTGGAGCGGAGTACGATCATGACGCGCAAGATATATCCCTGGGGGCAGTCACTAGACCATATCTGAACATTGCAGATGATAGAAGAAGGGCAAAGCCAACTATCTGCAGAAGCAATATGTGGCAATGGACATAATGAGCCCCTTTTCACCAAAGGAACCAACCTTGAACATGGAACAAATGTTGCTTCATCTCCGGAGAACCAGGTTTAAAGTGGCTCGCGTGCCGCTATTCGTTTAATTCCTTGTACTGAATGAATCCTCGGTTCCGAAGATAGTGCTAGCTCAGACGCCGCTTCCTGCTTTGAAAAACTCAAGAAGCACATCAAGAAAAAAAAAGCTCGCCAAAGCTCTGAACCAAGCTTAAATTCGAGCACATCGTCTGGGTCACAGGGACCATTCTATACAGTTCAATACGGGACTTATTCTCTCCCATGAAGATCGTATGGGATCATATGGGTATGGGTGGATACAGCATTCTCCAGGCAGTAGAAGATCTGGGCTGGAAGGAGGGCGTATATCGGGCAGACTACGACCTGTGGGCCGTACAGAATCACTTCGACGTGGACGGTAGCAAGCATACCACTACTTTTATATTTACTAGCCTGACCAGAGGTGATATAGATGCTGATAGTCCTCTTGGTACGCTTGCTGCCCTGCACAACCAGACCGGACGCAGGCCCTGGGTGCTATGTCCCTACCTCTTCCAGGAGCTCGGCTCCACTACCAAGTGGAGTACAACATTTGCACAGCTGGTCATCAGGCCTATTCTTCAGAATATCATGATACGACGTACTATAACCATCGAGGTCATACTCCCAGATAGGAGCTGCTATTTTCCAGGTACTGGACTGCCGCCCTCCTCATTCTTTACAGAGGAGGTGTCCATGAACCCCTGAGGCGGGATAAGCTACCCACAGACCGCAATGAGCTCGTAAAGGAGCTCATCCGACCACCCTCTAATGTCTGAAGATTCCTCGAACCTTATTTCCCTGGCTACCGATAGGTATGACTGCTCAGTTGCTTCGATACTTGTCCTAAATCTCCCAAGAACCCAAACCTCCGGTGGTCTTGGAGGAATGCAAGCCCACCTGGTTAGATTGCATCTACACAACATGCCCCGCGATACCTTAATGTGTGGTAGACTCTATCTATAATGTACATTGCACTACGGCAGTATTCGCTTTCGAGATTAGGTCTGTTGAGACGCATCAGCGGATCCCCAAGGCAACTCTCCTATCAGCCATAGAATTCCCTCGGCCAGATGACGCCAAGCTTGAGGCTCACTTCTCTGCTTTGAGAGGAGTTGTTGAACGTGATGATTGCTGGTTCCATAAACTAAGTGTCGACTATATACCGGCGAGATCGCGACCAAAATCTCATATATAATTGCTTGTTGAGGTTTTCCCACTGAGTCCCACATCCGAAGCACCGCACGCCTGAGTGGATAGAGTCATCGCCAAAACCGATTGACGATGCGCCTTCGTAGCTTTGCACCGAAGACGAAATTCCTTTTAGTGAGGCGTACCCATTATCACCGCTCATGTGCTTTTACCAAGGGTTGTTACGGTTCGCCTCTTCCCCGACGAACTATGAGCCAAGATTGCTCGATTTATCGGAAATCCCTATTGCGGGAGCTGAAACTGAATAGTCAAGAAATCATTAGACGGATGAAATTTTCTACGGCAACAGGTGTTATTAGTGGAAAGACAGCCATCGATATCACGGTACAAGTTGACGTTGGTCGCTGTCATGTGTCAAGGCACCCTATGCTGTGATGGTATATTCTCCTCTCTCTGTCCAAAGGAGGTCGACGCCTCGATAGATAGTGAGACTATTCATCCCAATCTGAGAGAATACATGCAAAAGCACGTATCAATTCGAGCAAGCTTGATGCACAACCGAAAAGGACGAAATCAAGTGGGACGAACTTATTCAGAGCATAAAATCAAGCATTATAGCCTTCGATGAGTAGGGCTTACGGTTGTCGGAGAGGAAAGGGAGCCTTGGGACAACTCGCTTTAACTTCCTTCTGTTTCCACCTTACGTGTGGTTTGCCGAAGCACAATGGACGCACCACAGAGGACTGGCTGCGTGAAATTTGCAAGCCAAGGACTGGTGATTTTCGATATTGGTGGTGATTTTCATGAGGAGCTTTTTGCAAACTCTGGGAGACGAGGACTGCCAACGCTGGTACCTGTTCTTGGTGACCTGGCTTGAACTTCCAATTGTATGAGGATCGATACAAACCAAACTCACCATACATAAAAATATGCTTGCAGCGATTCTGAGTCCCGGCAACTTGCCTTTCTCGGCGAGCTAGAATATCATCTAGCGCGTGGGGGCCCGACTTCTTCAACACTTTAAGTCTCGTACAGCACTTTTGGTGAGCCAGCCTTGATCGTCATCATTGATGTCGTGCTTGGCTTCTAGTCCTCACGTGGCCTCCCGAATGGAAGCAACGCCATAACCAACTAACACAGTCATCCGTACTGGCATAAACACTTCCATGAAGGACTTCAAATCAAGTCCAGAGAGGATCAATCAACTTTCAGAATATCTGAAGTACCGGCCTGTTTGGGAAGGGCCAAGAGATCTTCTTCCAGTAGACGAACTGGAACTGAGACTGGACCTGGCCAAGAAGTTCCAGACTTGGAAGCGTACAAAACTCGCAGAGAAAGCTAAGAAAGTCGATTCAGATGATGATAAAGCGCAGAAACAGGCCATGGGTTGGAAGCTCGATCCCTCCGCCTACGCCGCTAACACTAATCGAAGTTTGGAAATACAGCCGAGAAGGACTCGAATATAAGGCCCTATGATTCTGCCGAAGTTACTTTGACAAAGAACAACAATTTTAGTGGCAGGAGCTTAGGTGGACAGAAAGTAGCAAGGAAAAGATACGTGCTCAAAATCCGAAAACCTAGAGTCCGCGTCCAAATGGTCTCTGGATTCAAATATCTGGTTAAGTCTGTGGCAAAAGGGTTTTGTCCCTGAGTAGAAACACGAAGCAAGAGAGGGACAGGGAAGCGTGCCAAACCAACCTGCATCAACTCGCATCGGGTAACACGAGCGGCCCGGGTGAGTTTCTCGCCTGTTACTCATCGACAGTATTTAGGAGCTCTTTGAGGTCGATCGAATTTCGTCGATTCGTTATGCTGGCTGTCGACCTACAGCCGATGGTGACGCCATTGGCCATCACAATTGTCCTTGCAATTCAATAGACAGGATTGGTTCCAGCTGGTAGAGTGTGGGGACTAGGAGGAGGTGACAAAAAGCTTGTCCGAAGAACAGGTGCCAAGCATACGGGACTGATTGGACGCATCGAAGGAAGAGTCCATGAAGCTCCTCCTGAGTTGGTTCTTCAAGCCGTTCTCTTGAGCCGTTCCACGGGAGGAACAAGTGTCATCGTTCATCTCAACCACCGAGTCACTTCGGTCATCACGGTTGACTCGTGGGTTGGTGGAGCGGAAACATAACAGTGACCACTATTCGAAGCTCCCCGCCACGAAGACACTCTTTCATAATCTGAAGCCCGTCACCGAGGGCACAATCGTAGCTGCCCAACCAGATATATAATACGGAGCTAGCCCTGGGGATCTTGACCAGTCGATCCACAATGAGCTGCTGGAATGCCAAACTTACGTTGAGTGTCTCAGAAATGGTCCAGACCAAGAATGAAGCCAACTTTCTCGCGGGCGAATGCCATTGCAGGTCGTGCCCGGTTTTTTTGCTTTCCAAATATCCCGCCTCACTGCTCAGCAAGGACAGACTACGGAGCAGGGCGTTGTATCGAAGACCTTTATCCAGTCTTATACTCGAACTACCGGACCACAGTCACATTCTTGTACACCATCTATGTTGTGTTCTCATTTGTGTGGATGGTAGCGGTGCAAAGGGCCATAGATACTGGTTTGAAGCCCAGCGCCGGCGTTCTGTCCAATGGACAGATCAATGCAATGGTGCTCGCATTCGCTACCGCGGCGTGAGGCTTGTGGTTACTATTGCATATGCTCTACACCGAGCGAGAGTACCTCAAGAACTCGTCCCTGACAAAGTCTGGTTTTATGTGCGGAGTACTTGTAAAGTTATGCCGACTAATGTTGGAATATTTTGCGCAGGCATGCCAATCAGTACTGGCATTTGTTGTGCAGGCACCGAGTTATAAGGGGAATGGTTGTCCTCTAGAGTGAGGAGACTGTTGGATGGGAGTGCGATCCCGAGATATCACAGCCATTCGCAGGTCTCTTAAATATCGATATCCGCTTCATCTGCAAGGGCCCTACCCGCCGCATCCTCAACTATCGCGTCTGGTGAGTGCAAGGAGTGAGCTGATAATCTTGCAAACCCCATGATCCAGAAGGACCTTCATCTTTGGCATCGTCTTGGTTGGGCATACTAGCGGAAAAGATCATCGCGGCCGGCTTCAGAGCTGGGGCTCGGAACTGGAAACGAAAACATCCGCAACGAAGGCGAGGTGGCTTTCGCTCCACTGGCGGAACTGCCAGCATTCATTCCTGCTCATTGTCGCGATTCGGACGAGATGTCGTGGACTGCGCACATATGTGCTAGCAGCTCATAGGAACACTTTGACCTCATCGAGAGAGTTTCATGAGACCAAAGGGAACAGTGAGACTTGTGTCCAATTTTATCTAATCAGGCCTGGATGGCAAAGGAAGAGGTAGAAGAAGAACGTCGGGGAGGAAAGACTGAAGAAGAATCACTGGCAAGAGACGGGAGCGAACTATTCACAAAGTGTGATGAATCAATCGACTCAAATTGGATCACGACGGTTGGAGTACCCCAAATCAAATTATTAAGCAATCGAGCAGCGGTGGTCTAAATTGTGGCGGGAGAGTGGACAAGAGAATAGAGGTTCGGAGAGCACCTGTGATGCAATATCCAAATTGTGTAAGCAGCAGGACCCAGCCCGTAGAAGGGATTGGGTAACAGTTCTTGGCGATACTTCTCCCAGAGTCGGAGCTTGGTCGGAAGAGGATGATGCGACACTATTCAATGAAAGGATATGGACATCTGCTCGAGGTTGAGCAAAGCCGTTTCACAGATACGCATGTTCTTATGGCAGTATCTGTATGCGGCACCGGATGTGTTCAAAGACAACAGTTTGGTGTTATGGCAAAGCATGGAACGGTCTCGGCATCCTCATCGTCATAGTGCTGCAGATACTTCTGTTAGCCGGTCTCGCTGCCTGGGAATGCTATCCCAGCCAGGTGTTTATCAAATCGCATGCAAAACCTCTCCAAGAGCAGGAAGACGAATATCTCTACGGATTGACTATCCATCGCACGAAAGAACGTACACCCTGTCGCCTTCACGTCAAATTTGAACGATACCTGAGACTATAACCGTCAGTATTACTAGAGATCTGAGTCACGGACGCACAATATCTGCTCACTGCGGAGGTTCAGTCAAACGTGACATTTAGGATTGGGTCTCGGTTAGGTAGTCATGCAATTTGGACGTAAGCTGCTGACAATGCTGTGTTCAAAGAACTGGCACAGAGGCATCTAAGACGAGCTGAAAACACGGAGCAGTCTTTGAGGCGGTGAAATGGCCTTCTAGTGTTCGCTTCGAGGATATCCTCACAGGTTGGTGGGGGGGCAGCAACAGACAGCCCGCCATCTACCCATTGGCTGACTGTCTTATCAAGCTGAAGCAAGTCACGGAGCTCATCTTTGAATCCAAGATTAATTTTGAAGAGACGAATTATCTGTGGATTTTATGATAGAAGTATGGGTTCACCGTCAGAAGATTCATCAAGATCCACCACGAGTCTCATCACACAATCCAGTCTAACCTAGTTACCGCCTGTTTAGCCATCCCAGCAATCAACTCGACTACGGGTGCTACACCAGAGAGTAAAACACGGCACACGAGAATCGAAAAACAAGGTTGTTTTCATTTTAATTTGGATCAATAAGATCGAAATGAAGCAAATGGATCATGAGAAAT